ACCCCACCCCCTACCCCACCCCTGTATTAGGGATTAACCCAGGGTCTTTGCAGTGAGCTACATCCCCAGCCCTTTTTAAATTTTTTATTTCTAAAGAAGAGTCGCTAAATCTCTAAGTTGACCAGACTGGGTTCAAACTTGTGATCTTCCTGACTCAGCCTCCCAGAGTGGTAAGATTACAGGAGTGCACCACCACCACGCCCAGCTATAAACTTTAAAAAATTCTTTCATGGGACCATCTGAACACCCCTCTTGTATCCAGAAAAGCTTCAGAAATGTGGAAGAAATAATGGTATCTTGTCTGGGACTGCATTTGCAGCCTGACTAAAGGCCCAGTGATCTGATTATACCAGCCAGTTTCTATATATTCAACAAGCACATTGTGTGCCCAGAACCCTAGTGACTTCTGTAAACACCTTCCATCTCTGAAAAGTGTGAGAATGTTTGTTAAAGTACTACTGCACATGTCTGAATTCATGAAGTGTTTCATGATAGATATTTAAAAAATAAACAAAAGACCTAGTCCCTGCACTAATATGTTGCACGCTGGTTGTGTACAATGTGTTCTGGAAACAGTGTACATGACACATCATCATTTACACTGTGAGAATTTCACAGAGAAGAGAATGTAGCAGGAGCACTGAAGGTTTTTCAGGACTGGTCGACATTGAATTGGACATTAAAATATGGGTGATATTTGGAGAAGAAGCAGAATTAACAACTCAGAGATAGAAAAGAACTTGCTAGATGTGCAAGGATGAAGGAAAAGGCTTAGCCAGCTAAAGCAAGAGGTGAGTGAGCAGAGTTGCCCAAAAGGCTCTATGATTGTGCACTGCAGTCTCCCAATCCACAGGAGCGTTCCAGGACCCCCAAGGATGCCTGAAACCAAAGACAGTACTGAGCCCCTGCCTACTTTTTCCTATATGTGCATACCCATGATAAAGTTAATGCACAGTAAGAGATTAACAATAGCTAAGAATCAAGCAATTGCAACATTAGGCCATAAAATTATGGTAGTGTATGGCCTTTCTCTCTTGAAAGAATCTAGGCAAATATTAATATTTTTGGACCAGCTTGACCACGGGGAACTAAAACCATGGATAAGGCAAGCTACTGTAACAGGAACCCAAGAGGGTGCCATTCCAAGTCTCAGGGTGGACAGACCCAGTCCTATCTGATGGCAGAGGAATATTTAAAAAGTGGAGAATGACTGTTAAGGTTGAAATGCTTGGCTAAGAAGCCCATACTTGATCCTATTAAAAAATGGAAACTGAGTTTTTTGAGAAAGATAAATGAAAATGAAGTGGCTGAACATTCAGGCTTTAGATCTAGATAAAAAATTACATTGATTTGCAGCTATATACTTATTAGCTTTATGTTATGGAAGATGTTATGTTTATTAAGCCTTAATTTTCTTATCTGTAAAGTGGGAATAATAGTATTTTTCTTAAGGAATTATAAGGCTGCTTGAGAGGCTGAGGCAGGAGGATGTCAAATTTGAGCCCAGCCTGGTCAGTTTAGCAAGACCCTGTCTCAAAATGAAAAAGGTTGAAGTAACTCATTGTGAAAGCCTTGGATTCAATCCCCAGTAACACACATATACACATACACACACACACACATGCAGTAGTATGAGGATTGAGACAACATATGCAGTGGTGCTTAGGGCATAGTAAGTATTCAGTGAATTGACTTTTTTGGGGGAGTACTGGGGATCGAACTTGGGACCTTGCGATTGTGAGGCAGGTGCCAGAACCACTGAGCTAAAGCCTGGCCCCACAGTGAATGATATTTGATGATGGCAAGTGTTTCCAAAGTTTTAAAAGCTTTAGTGTACAGAATGAACTGGGGGAAGAGAAATTGGTAGCTGTTTTGGGGGGGGGGGGTTGGTACTGAGGATCGAACTCAGGACCTTGTGCTTGTAAGGCAGGCCCGGTGCCACTGAGCTAAATCCCCGCCCTGGTAGCTGGTTTTGACTTTCAGTGGTTTTTACTTTAACTGTGAAACGAGTTAGTTAACATATTACAAGTGTGAAGTGACAAAGCCTTGAACTGTGGTCTGGAAATAGAAGGCAGAAGTTGGAACACAGAGGAGCTTGTATTTCATCCTGTCTATGACATAATCAGTTATAAGATGCACCAGTATTTTTGTACCACAAAGAAGGAAAAAATATTAATGACTCTGACACAATGCTTATCACCTAGTATTTTTATTGTACACTTACTTATTATTATGTACTGTTTCAATAAGTATATTGCTTCTATTTAAACAGAAAAAGGGAACTTGAAGTAAAATAAAGATATTCCTGAAACTTCTTCACATCCAGTCCATCTTTTTTAATTACTTGTTTCAGTCACTTGCTGTGTTTTTTGGTTTTTTTCCATGTAATACTGTATTCTTGCCATCAAGAGCATGGTATTACTATATTTCTTTAAAAATCTTTTGAGGTTTTGTTTTCCCAACCTACCACAAATTTGATGTGGGTGCTTCTTGGTCTTAACAGAAATTGGGAGGTTATCAGACAGCAGCCAGTGCTCACATGCCTTTCTCGGGTGGTGCTGAATGATTTACTGGCTGAAAGACAAGGGCTGAAGTGTGTGTCCGGGAATGGGCCCTGGTCACATGTGTGCGAAAGTGACAACCTTACCCATTGTTGCCTGGTCCACAGCAGTTTCAAGGATGTACCCTAATTTCAGAGGACTGAAAGAGGTGGGAGAAAGCACATCTCAGAGCTGAGAGATCAGATAGCATTGAAACACTAGCTTTGAAATTCTGGGGAAGTTACTTAGCAAGCTTAGGTGCCATGGTCACACCTGAAGTTGTTTGGTTGCAAATTATTCTGAAGCATGTTCTACCAGCACTTTTATAAAAAATCAAAATATTTTTAAAGAGTTATTTAGCATGGATAAGTTTACCAAAACACCAGGATGTGAACTTTTAGAATTTTACTGATTCATGAAAATGGCTGAAATTGTTTGAAACTAGCTATTGTAGTAGTAATAAAATTGGACTGGGGATTTAGCTCAGTGGCGCTGTGCTTGTCTGGCAGGTACAAGGTCCTTGAGTTCAATTCCTGATACCAAAAAAAAAGAAAAAGGTAGTAATAAACTTATGAGTCCTCATTTTTGAATGCTAGGTATTACCAGCATAATGAAATATGTTTTATATTCTTAACATTCATTTTTACTGTAGGCCTACACCTACTATATAAGTATTTAACCTGCTATGTTAAATTTCAAAGACCAAACCCATGACTTCTAAGAGTCAGCTACTTCTGTGGGTTGGTAGCCTAAAAATTCTACATAGAATAGAGAAATATAGAAAACAGAAAATGTAACCCTGTATAGTTGCAAGTTGCTGTGGCAGTACCAGTGATGTTACAATAAACCTTCCCCCACCATCTCTTGGGTGCTAGAGATTAAACCCAGAATCTTGTGCATGCTAGACAAGTGTTCGACCACAGAACCACAGCCCCAGCCCTATGTAAAATTTTATTTTATTAACTTATTTGAAACAGAGTCTCATTAAGTTGGCAGGGAAGGCCTTGAACTTGCAACCCTCCTGGCTCTGCCTCTCAAGTAGCTGAGATTACAGCCATAAGCCACCACACCCAGTTGGCAAATTATTGAAACTGTTTTATATTTAGAAACAGGATAAAATAATCTATAGAGGGCCAGGGATTTAGCTCAGTGGTGCCGCACCTCCCTGGCAAGTGCAAGGTCCTGAGTTCAATCCCCAGAATCAAAAATAATAATAACAATAATAATAATCTGTAGAGTGATAATGGGTCTTTAGTTTGTGGTATTTTCTTTGCCCTCTTGGTTATAGTCCTGTTGGGAGAATTTTTTAACTGAAAAGTTGTATTACCACACCAACAATATTTACTTTTCCAGATGCTTAGGGTAAAATATGGGAACTTTCTTACATAATCCTCACGATGAGTTCCAATAAGAAAGTATGTCTTGACTGGGAGTCTAGTCCACTTAGCAGGACTCAAACATTCTCAGAACTTCTGAGCAAGCCTCATTTTCTCTTCTCTTTTTAGTGTGAGGTGATGCCAGTGGTCCTGAAGGCCATTTCTTGTCACATTTCCATAATTCCATGGCTTCTTCATTATCCCCGAGCTGCCCTATCCCCCTTGTGTTTTCTTCTAAGAGAGTGAGCCAGTTATAGGTGGTTGTAGGGTCCAGTGTCTGCTTCCCTGTCCTGCTCCCAAGAGAATGTGTGCACGTTTGTGTGCCTGTGCTGCTGCAGGTCTCTCTTTGTAGATGTTTCCCTCTTGGTGGCAAGGATTGGACCCAGAGAACAACACTGACTGGTTCGGACAGGGCTAACATTGCAGAGGCGTCATGGCTTTGAAGTTCACTTGTGTGGCCAGGGAGCACTGGAAGGGAGCAAGATGTGACCTGTGGGCTCTCTGGCCCTAGGCCTTACTGGGAGCAGCACTTCTGATGCTCATCTACAATAAATGCCTCTGGTTTTTATTTTTATTTTTCTCAGTTCAACCACTTGTGCACGTGCATCTCATATCTATGTGGTAGTCTGCCTTTGTAGAAAAGGAGCAGCAGTTTCAAACAGGTTACTTAGAATTTTACAGACAAGTCCTCAGGGATCTTGAAAATGATTCTGGCAATTAACTGCCACAGTCAGGTGTTTATCACCTGGCCTGGGAAATGCTGAATAATGAATGCCATTCCTGGTAGATCTCAAGCAGGTGATGGGCTTATGTTGAATGAGGAAACATGAGTTTAACTGGGAAGCAGTATTTCCATAAAACGTGTCCCACTACCTCTTTCTGCTGCCAGTACCTGCAATTCCATCATCTTTTCTTTAATTCTGTTCCGTATGATATCTTTGGGGCCATCTAGTTGCAGGAGTGTTTGCTCGCAGGCCTCTGCAGTGGTTCAGGAAGGCCCGCCCTACCCACTCTGCTGTTGCCTGGCACCAGTCCTCCCCTGTTGTTGGGCAGCTTGTTTACTTCTGCCCTTAATTCCCTGCAGGTGCGAAAGTACAAGAGCATGATCCTGGAAGACTTGGAGTCCGCTCTGGCGGAACACGCCCCTGCGCCACAGGAGGTTAACTCCGAGCTGCCGCCTCTCACCATCGATGGGATTCCAGTCTCTGTGGACAAAATGACCCAGGTAAGGGGCAGGAAACCAGGCATAGATGCAGAGGCAAGAGGCTCATTTTTCTAGTCCTGTGCTCAGTGATGTGACCAGAGAGGAGGTACAGGCTGGAGTGTGACGTGAGGCGGCAGCAGCCCTGGAGAAGGCAGGGCAGTCTAGAGGGGTGCTCCCACCCAAGGGTGTGCATGCGGGCTCTGCCTTCTGCTGCCTGTTCTTTCCTTTCAGGGGGCCTTTGGGTTGGATCAAGAAACTTTGAGCTTGGGGTTGATCTGAACAGGAGACAGAATGAATCACAATCGAGTAGGACAAGTTTTAGTCTATTGGGCTGAGCTTCCCCTCTTTCCATGTAAATACTGAATACCGTCACTCTATTGCCAAGTAATGCTGTTCCCAGGGGAGTAAGAACACAAAGCTCAGAAGGACTTCCTCCTGAGTCCCTCAGTGCCACCCACTTCATCTAGAAGAGAAGTCAAAATGTGCTTAGCCTGGTAATCATGTGCCTCAGTGATTTTGCTGAGATTGTTTCTTTTATGTTTAAGTAATAGCTTAATCAAAATCTACATTTTTATAATATTTCCCATCTTATTTATTAATATACTTTTATCTTGCTAAATTCAGTTGTCAGTTTTCTTTCCTTGTCTTATTGGGTCTTTCAGCAGTATTTAACTCAGTGAGTTAATCCTTCCTTAAAATTTCTTTTTTCTTTTTTTGGTTTTTTGAGACAAGGTCTCACTATGTAGTTCAGGTTGGCCTTGAACTTCCAGTGATCCTCCTGCCTCAGCCTCCTGTGTGCTGGGATTACAGGCGTACACCACCACACCCAGCTTAAAACATTTCCTTCTTTCAGTCTCCATGACCCCACACTCCTGAACATCCTCCTACTTTACTGGCTGCCACTTCTTAGTATTTTTTAGGGCTCTCATTGCTCATTTCACCTGATCACTGTTGGTGTGTCCCAGACCCCAGGCCTTAGCTGTCTACTGTTCCTAGTTCCCCTCCAAGTTGCCTCATCTTGTAGGCTTCCTGTTCTTTCTCTGCCACTGTGCCCAGCTTATAACCACTGAAATGTCCAGTAGCCAGCAGGGCCACAACAGAACCTCTGGTTGTCCTGCCCTCCATTCCCACTCTGTTCATTCCCTTTTGTTCTGCATGTCACTTGATGTTACTGCCATTCATCTGGTTGCTCAAGTACCAGAACAGGAGTAATCTCTTTTTCTGCCCCTTCCCCTCCATTCACCAGAAGCTGACCATTTTCTCAGCTCCATCAGCATGCTATTCCCAGCCTTAGCACCACTCCCGTTGACTGTGTCATTACTAGTCTTCTCTGCTGACACCCATGCTCTGCTGCAGGCCACGCTGTGTAGCTGTCATAAAGACCCTTCAAAAATGTCTTGGCACTCTAATGGTGTCCCACTGTTTTTAGAACCAAATTCAGACCCTTGGATGCCCTAGATAATCTGGCCTCTTCCACCTGGGCATGGTGGCGCACACCTGTAATCATAGCACTAGGGAGGCTGAGGCAGGAGGATCACTTTGAGTTCCAGGCCACCCTGAATTTAGCAAGACCCTCAAAAAAACAAGACATAGGGCCAGGGATTTAGCTCAGTGGTTCCACCACCTGCCTACCAAGCAGAAGGTCCCCAGTTCGATCCCTGGTACCAAAAAACAAAAACAAAACATAATCTGGCCTCTTTTAAACTCATCTCCCTCCACACCATCACTGAGCTATAGCACAATGTCTCTTTCTCAAACACCCCAACTCCATGCTTTGACTTTTGCTATTGCCCTTGCCCAAAACATTGTTCTCTTGGATCATTGTGTGATCGACTGCACAGTCCCTAAGACAGCCTTTTGGTTTGGTTTAGTTGAGACAGTGTCTTACTATATAGTCAGGTTGAACCCTTGGTCCTCCTACTTCCGCCTCCTGAGTACTTGGGCTCACAGATATGTGCCACCATTCCCAGCTCAACCTTTTGTTTTGTTTTGTTTTGTTTTGTTTTGTTTGTACCAGGGATTGAACTCTGAACTCGGGACCTTGCGCTTGCAGTAGAACCACTGAGCTAAATCCCCGGCTCAAGCCTTTCTTGATTATCCCATCTAAAGAAGCTTTCTCCTCCCTCAGGTCACTAATACAGTCTTATTTATTATTGTCTGGATCACACTTATCACTACCTGAAATGATCTCATTTATTAATTTTTATGCTTGTTTGTGATCTGTATTGCCAGTAGAATTTAAGGGCTGGGACTTAGTTTTTACTTTTTACTCCTCTTTGATACAGCAGCCCAGGACCTGAAACCACTTTTCATCTAAACACTAGTATCTAGTCAGTAAATTACCTAAGGATCAAAGCAAAAGTGAATTCAGTGCAAGTGCCCTGAGCAGGTGTTCACTCGGTACCAAGAATGATGCTGCTGCTCATGAGGGAACACTCTTCTTCCTTATTAGGTCTGAAGCAGCAACTTCATGTGAAGCAGTACTACATTTTATAAATATAAAGCTAAGCTGGGTGTGATGGTATACACCTTTATTCTCAGCATTCAGGAGGCTGAGGCAGGAGGATCTCTGAGATCAGCCTAAGCTATATAGTCCAAGGCCAGACTAGACTAATCTTGAAATTTCATTCCCCTGCAGTACTAGGGATTAAAGCCACAATCTTTGTATTGAGCTACAGCCCCTGCCCTTTTTAAATTTTTGACAAGGTATTGCTAAGTAGCCTATTGCCCATGGTGAGCTCAAACTTGTGATTCTCCTGCCTCAGCCTTCCAGAGTGCTGGGATTACAGGTGTGAACGCTCCCATCATCTCTTACATTGACAGAAATTACACAGAACAGAGTATCTGAACTTCTGTTGGAACTAACTGCTCTGTTCACTTAGAAGCACCTCTGTAGGATTTTTGTGATTGTTTTATTTTATTTGGCTTTGGTTTTTGTCTTTTCTGTTTTGTGTTTTATTTTGCAGAAGTATAATTCTTTTTTTTTTTTGGTATCAGGGATCGAACTCAGGACCTTCCGCTTGCGAGGCAGGCGGTGGAACCACTGAGCTAAATCCCCGGCCCTATAATTCTTTATTAGTAAGTAGGCTGCTTTACCTGAAAAGCTTCAGTTTTTACTGTGATGAATAAATATATTGTGCTTCTGGTAACCTCTTTTCTTGTGGCTAAAAAAAATTAAAAACCACATAGCTCTATTGCAGTAGTGGCGAACCTATGGCAGGAGTGCTGCAGTGGGCTGTTTGTAACATTGAAAGCTCTAAAAGGTTTGCCATCACTGCCTTATAGTATTTTTAGTGATAAAATGAAAACTTCAGGCCTCTTTAAGAATAGTGGCTGAAGCTAGGTGTGGTGACATACTCCTACACCACCCAGCACTTGGGAGGGTGAGGCAGGTGGATCACCGCAAGTTGGAGGCCAGCCTGGTGTACATAGTGAGTTCAAGGCCAACCTGAACTACATAAGAGACCTTGTCTCAAAAAAAAAAAAACCCAAAAAACAAAGAATAGAGGCTGGAACCCTACCTATATCCCCCATCTTTCTGCCCACCCTAAATGGAGGAGGTTAAGATAAAGCTTACCAGTAGAAATTATTATTTATGATAGGTTCTGCAACCTCAAAATTAATTTACAAGGAAACAGTGAAGTCACATTTTCAGAGACTTTGAAAGTCCAGCTAACAGAATTTTCTGTGACACTCCATCCTGGGGCCACATGGTGGGCTAAGTCAGTATAGTGTGGGTAGCTCTGGGGTCATGCTGAGATGCGGACTGCACATTGGTAGTGTGAGGGGCCCTGCACTGCTGCCTTTCCAAGTGACCCTTGCAGCGCTGACTCTCCGGTGCACTCTGGATTGAAGGAATCACATGGTTTCTTGAGGAGCCTTAGAGTGGATATGATAGTGCTTATGGAAAATCAATCTGCTCTTTACCACACTGGATTTCTGTAGGATTTCTTGTTCTTGGAGGTTGTAAATCTTGGGATCTGTATTAGGAAAGATCCAAGCAACGATTATAGAAGAATCATCTCTACCTGCTCTTACTATTGGCTAAAATCAACTCCTCTGCCCCTTCTCCCTTCCTTCCCTGTTCTCCTTGAACTTGCCATTCTCCTCTTACTCTCACTGGGGCAATCTGTTGCTTTACTATTCCCTCTGTGTGATGATGCAATGGGGTAGTAACTCCTCACCACTTTGGGGGAGCCTTCAGAAACCTTCATTAAGAGGAAGTTGCTCATAAGCTTGAGCTGTTTTACTTTGAAAACATTCTAGTCAGTTAGTTTTCATTCTTTGAGGATTTTGTTTTGTTTTGAAAAAGCTTAGGTCTGGCCTCTTATACCCGAGGAGTAGAAAACATTATGCTAAGTAAAATAAGCAAAACACAGAGGGAAAATACAGTCTGATTCTGCTTATATGAGGTATCTAGAATGGCAAATCATAGAGACAGAGAGTAGACTAGAGGTTACCAGGGGCTAAGGAGAGGTAGAAATGGGAGATTAACATTTTAATGGGTATAGAGTTTCTGTTCCAGATGACAAAGAAATATTTCTGGAAATAGCACTGGCAATAGTCCTACAGTATAAATGCACTTAATGCTGTGGAGTGGTACCTGTTAGGGTGGTAAATTGTGCGTTATGTGTATTTTGCCACAATTAAAATTTCGTTAAAAGAGAACAAAGAGCTAGGTGAAAAGTACTTGAGTTTAGTGGTTCTTAAAGTTGGTCACCCAGTAGAATGACCTGGGAGTTTAAAATCCTAGTTCCAGGACCAGTTAAGTCTGAACCTATGAGGATGGGATCCAGGTTGCTATGGTATTTACACTTCTCAGGAGCTGTATTTCCGCTGTTGTAGAAAATAATTCCAGACCACCTTTTTATGCTGCAGTGCCAAAATCTAAATGCAAAGCAGGCTTTTCTTACTATCTGAAATTATCAAAAAGTGTTTATGGGGCCAGGGATTTAGCTCAGTGGTTCCACTGCCTGCCTCGCAAGCACAAGGATCCAAGTTTGATCCCTGGTACCGAAAAA